TAAGTCTAATAGTGCAGAGCCTGCAGGGAAGCTGCCTCTCCAGGAGCCAGGCCAGGCCCTGCTCCCGGGAAGGCTTTGCCGCAGGCTCTGCAGCCAACTCCCCAGGCCCAGCAGCCCCTGCCACCCCGCTCCTAGGGAGACAAAATGTAACCTGTGGCGGAAGGTTGGGAGACCTAGCCGGCCTGGCACAGACAGGGGCTTCTCAGGCGGGCTCTGAAGGGTAGAGCAGCCCCCGTACCAGGCAGGAAGCTGCTCCAGACTATGGCTGTTAAAGACCAGTCAACTATCTGATAAGCATTTGCCCCTCCCCCCGCCATTTGCTGAGGCTCTTGTACATTTCAAAGGAGGAATGTGGAACTCCACATACAGTCCGGGGCCAATGGGAAGTTCCGCTGACTCCAGTATGCACACAGGTGCCTTCTTTGAAATGCACAAGAATCCCCAATGGGGGCTCTTGTGCATTTCAAAGCCATGGAGCCCGGGATCAGCAGGGGACTGAGAGTCCGCCGCTGACCCTGGGCTCCATGCTATGCTGCATGCTGCTAGGAGCCTGGGGTCAGCTAGGGACTCCCCAGCTGATCCCAGGCTCCCTGCAACTGTCCCTTTGAACCGCGCATCTGCGCGATTCAAAGGGGTAGCTGCAGGGAAATGCCGCAGGGAGCCCGGGATCAGCTGGGGAATCTCCAGCTGACTCCGGGCTCCTAGCAGCATGCAGCATAGCATGGAGCCTGGGGTCAGTGGGGGACTGAGAGTCCCCCGCTGATCCCGGGCTCCATGGCTTTGAAATGCACAAGAGCCCCCACTGGGGACTTTTGTGCATTTCAAAGAAGGCACCCACGTGCATACCGGAGTCAGCGGGACTTCCCGCTGACCCCGGACTGTATGTGGCGTTCCACATTCCTTCTTTGAAATGTACAGGAGCCCCCGCTGAGGCCCCACTGGGAGCTCCTGTACATTTCAAAGGAGGAATGCGGAAGTGCCTATCGAATAGTCGACTAGTTGATGGAAATTCCATCGAGTAGGCAACTAGTCAATTAATCACATTTTAACATCCTTACTCCAGACCTAATTAACTGGAACCAGTAAACCTCACCTGTTAAGGGTAAAGCTTACTGGTTAACCTTTTACATTCCTAATAATCACAGCACATTCAATTATCTAAAGAATATTTGCTTTATAGAAATAATGTAACTGATTCTTCAGCCTGAAGACTAAACCATTTCAGTACACTTTACTTTGGTGCTAATGCCTGGAAAGTGATTCATGTTTCATTCCCTGAGAGAGAATGCTCATATTCATTTTGAATGCCACATGTGGAAATATATCCAAGATCTTGAAAACTGCCTTCAATTAATCAGAGGACAAAAAATAACTTACACTGCTTTGCAGCAAAAGGTTTGTAAGACTGTTCAATACTGCATTCATGGCCCTTAAAGTATAAAACAAACTATTAGAAAAGGTTTGCTTAACACTGATGAAGATTAGTTAAGCAAAATTACTTCTTAAAGAGATCAAACTTCCTTTTGGACTTGGCCACGGTTTCTTATATATTGCCTTTGTACTGTACACTTCAATGGAATGTTAATGAAAGTGAACTTCAATATGCAAACAATATAATCAAAGTACAGCAGTCAACACTTAGCTACACTGAATTTCAGATTATGCCATGACCTCTGCATGAACAGGACAAACCCTGCCTTTCTGAAAAGTTTTCCTAACTCTTTCAAATGCTTTCTAACAATTGTTCTTCTTTTGTGTAATTGTCAGATTTAGGTAAATCCACTTTCTTGCCAATAACAGAGTTAATTTAGATCTGGGTTCCATTTTACCCTAACCCCCCAAAGTCAGAGGAGTGGCAATGAATTATTTACATTTCCCATATCTCAAAAAAGTTAACTGAAAAAAAAACCTCACTAGGAGATTGCGGCCTAATCTAGCAGACTCCCAGCCAAGCTGGGAGGGTTGACATGCTTAAGTGCAAAAGAAAGTGGCGGCTGCAGGAATGTTGCTGATTTGGGACGGCAAGTGTCTCGAGCACATTTTCAAAGGAATTAGGAGTCTAACAATGCAGCTGGTGCCCATGGGTCACTGTCACCATCCTTAGGCAACTAAATACCTTTAAAAACCTGGTCCTAACTAAAGATGTTAAGGATCAGTCAACTAGTCAACTATCTGATAAGCAAATGCTTATCGGATAGTCAACAGGCTAGTCGACTAATCATAAGAACATAAGAATGGCCATACTGGGTCAGACCAAAGGTCCATCCAGCCTAGTTCCCTGTCTGCCAACAGTGGCCAATGCCAGGTGCCCCAGAGGGAGTGAAACAAACAAGTAATGATCAAGCAATCTCTCTCCTGCTATCCATCTCCCCTCTGACAAACAGAGACTAGGGACACCATTCCTTATTCATACTGGCTAATAGCCATTAATTGACTTAACCTCCATGAATGTATCTAATTCTCTTTTAAACCCTGTTATAGTCCTAGCCTTCCCAACCTCCTCAGGCAAGGAGTCCCACAGGTTGACTGTGAGCTGCACAAAGAAGAACTTCATTTTATTTATTTTAAACCTGCTGCCCATTAATTTCATTTGGTGACCCCTAGTTCTAATTGTTCCTCCGCCCCCTTGGGGGTTGGACCCGGGCGCTGCGCTGCCCCTTTGAAATGCTGCCATGGCATTTCAAAAGGGCAGTGCAGTACGGAGCCCAGTATCAGTTGGGTGGTGCTGTCCCTTTGAAACACCATCCCCGGCGTTTCAAAGAGTCTGCGCTACACAGCTGATCCCGGGACAGGGAGGCTGATCCCAGCTGATGTCGGCTCCGCGGTGCTGCCCCTTTGAAATGCCGCTATGGCATTTCAAAAGGGCAGTGCCACACAGCTGATCCCAAGCTTAGCGCTGCATGAGCCTGGGGTCAGCTGGGGACTCCAGCTAACCCCAGGCTCCCTGCAGCACTGCCCCTTGCATTTCAAAGGGGCAGAGCCTCACAGCTGATCCCAGCTGGACCCTGAGCTCAGCAGTGCTACCCCTTTGAAATGCTGCCGCAGTGTTTCAAAGGGGTAGTACTGCACTATTGACTAATCGAATAGTCAATGCAAAAATGCATCAACTACTCAATTAGTCAATTACACGCTACTTAACATCCTTAGTCTTAACTACCGTGGGGGTTGCAGGGCTTGGCTCCACCCTCGGCCTCCAGCCCCATCCGGAGTAGGGATGTAATAGTGTAGGGCTACGTCTAGACTTGCATGATTTTCCACAAATGCTTTTAACGGAAAAGTTTTTCCGTTAAAAGCATTTGCGGAAAAGAGCGACTAGATTGGCACGGACGCTTTTCCGCAAAAGCACTTTTTGCGGAAAAGCATCCGTGCCAATCTAGACGTGGTTTTGCACAAGAAAGCCTTTTTGCGATCGGGGCTTTTTTGCGCAAAACAATACCGCGTTGTCTACACTGGCCCTCTTGCGCAAAAGCATTTGCGCAAGAGGGCTTTTGCCTGAACGGGAACAGCATAGCATTTCAGCAAGAACACTGACAATCTTACATGAGATCGTCAGTGTTATGCTGTCTACACTGGCCCTTTTGTGCAAAAGTCTTTCGGAAAAAGACTTTTGCCCAAACGGGAGCAGCATAGTATTTCCGGAAAAGCACTGATTATTTTACAGGAGATCGTCAGGGCTTTTCCGGAAATTCAAGCGGCCAGTGTAGACAGTTGGCAAGTTTTTCCGCAAAATCAAATGATTTTGCGGAAAAACTTGCCAGTCTAGACACAGCCGTCCTGTCAGATGCAGCCATAAGAGAGGGCTAACAGCGGGAATCATGTGTTCAGGGTCTGCTGCAGGGCACAGTAACTTGCCAGTTAGACTTGATTAACTGATAAGCAAAAGCTTATAGGTTAATGCTATAGACTACACGCATTTCCCTCCCCTGCCTTGCTGGTAAATTTTTTAGCAGGCTAACCAGCAGCCTGGCTCTGTCCTGTCTTGTGATGGGTCCAAACCTCCCCCCAGACAGGGGCTGCTGTCACCCTGCTCTGCTGCCTTTTTATCAGTGGCAGCAGCACAGGGCAACAGGCAGCCCGTCCATGAAGGGGGCTGTTTTTTAAACACCAGTGTGGAGTGGCAGGGGGCTCCTTGGCAGTGAGGCTGGAGCGGGCTGGCTGCCAGCCCCCACCTTGGGAACTACAGAATAGTCGACTAACGGATAGGAATTCGTGAGGATACTCGACTATTCCGTTGACTAATATTGAACATCCCGAATCCACTAGGCTGCAGATGCCGGCCCAGAATAAAGACCCGCAGAGCAAGGCCGAAGGACTATAACTCCCAGCATGCAACGCCTCTCCACTCGCCGAGAATACATGGGAACTACGATTCCCATCAGGCCATGCGGAGCACGGATGCAAGTCCCGGCACGTGGTATCGGGGTGCGATGCATGCTGGGGGTTGCGGCCGTAGCTCTATCGGGGAGTCTGCAATCCACGTGCCTTATGCCGGGAGCATTTCCCCGCGCGCTGCCCTCATCCTGCCGTAGCCTTGTTTCCCTGCCGCTCCCGCGCGATTCCGGAGCGCGTATTGGCTTCGCCCTCTCTGCAGCTGCCTCCGTGGAAGTTATAGCGGCCGGAAGTAGACGTTGCCTTAGTGACTATCTCTAGGGCAAACATTCCGGTCGCCCCGGAAGTACTTCAGATCTCTCCGGCCATGTGGCGATTTTTCTCGCCTTAGCCACAAATCCCATTCGGGGATGCGACACTTGGCCTTGGAATCAAACATTTCCGAGCGTTTAATTTAAAAAAGAAATACACGGCAGGCCGGTTAAATTAGCCGCGGAAAATGATTGGCCGACTCTTCTTACTGGTGACCAATCAGAGGTAGCCACGCTCAGACCGCAGGAAGCCGCACATGGAAGGCTCTGATTGGCGAGGACCAGATCCCGCCCCACCTCCCAGGCAGCTTCATTGGCTGTGTGTTTGGCGTGGTGCGCTCTGATTGGCGGTGAGTTGAGCGCTTCTCCCCACCCCGTGTGCCGGACGGTGATAAGGCTGGGGGAGGGCCCTACCGGGCTGGTCCGGTAGTTTCGGCGCTTTTCCTGAGAGCTCGTGGGGCTGGATCTAGCGAGTCCTCGTCTGAGTCCGCACCGACACCCCCGCTGCTGCAATGAAGCCGCTGTGGGGACTCGCTCTTCTGTGTGTCCTGCTCCTGGCCTGTGAGTCGCCCCCTCCTCCCGCGCCCGCCCGCCCGCGGATTCTAGAAGCTTCTGGCGAGGAGCGGTTGGGGCCGGTGGGGCCTCCGCCCGGGGAGTGACCGGGAAGCCTGGGGACGGGGCGCGGCGCTGCGTGAGGCCGGGAGTTGCCCTGGGGCGAGCAGCCCCGCCCCCGCCCTTCTCCCCGTTATCGGTCTTTGGGGCGCGCGCCTGGCTGTGGGGGGGGCAGTGTCTTCCCCTCAGGGAATTGTGCCCCGAGGCGCTGCCGCGCGCTGCGCCCTTTGGTCCCGACGGGGTCTCCGCCCGCGGCGGCGTCACCACCCAGTGGGGTGGGCGGGTGTAACTCCGGGAAAGGGGGGGGGTCTTTTTTCCAGGTCGCGCTGCCCGGAGCGCTCCGCGCCCTTCTCCCCGCCTGCCTCGTGTCCCCCGCTGCGGGGGCCGGACTGAGCCCGCTTGAGGCCTAGTCGGTCTCTAACGCTCCCTTCTCCCTCAGCATCGGTCAGAGCGGAGGACCTGGATGTGGACGCCACGGTAGAAGATGACCTGGGGAAAAGCAGAGAGGGCTCCCGGACTGACGACGAAGTTGTTCAGAGGTTTGTACCTTGTATTGTGTAAAGGTCTGTCGCCCCCTATAGCAAAACACTAAAATGCCCCCCCTGTGGGTTCGGTCTCTAACGCTCCCTTCTCCCTCAGCATCGGTCAGAGCGGAGGACCTGGATGTGGACGCCACGGTAGAAGATGACCTGGGGAAAAGCAGAGAGGGCTCCCGGACTGACGACGAAGTTGTTCAGAGGTTTGTACCTTGTATTGTGTAAAGGTCTGTCGCCCCCTATAGCAAAACACTAAAATGCCCCCCCTGTGGGTTACTGCCTCATCCTTTTGCTGGCCTAAGAAGTCATAATGGAATGTGAGAGAGGTTTGTGTTTCTAATCTATAGGCTGAGCCTCTCTAGTCCAGCATCGTTGGGGCCTGACCAATGCTGAACCAGAGAATTTGCCAAAACATAGGAGGTCAGTGTTATCTAGGAGCATTGCCAGCAGTTCCACAGCTTGCTGGGCTTATAGGAGATATTTAGGGGTAAATTGGAGCTAAGTAACGGTGCAGAACAGGCACAGCCAGGACTCCTGGCTACAAACAAACTTTATGGCATATGGAAAACTTGGCCACACCCATGACAGGTGGACATCCTGCTAACTGAAATCATGTCAGACTAGAAAGGTTCAACCTGTAAGATGTATTTCAAGGCAGGCGGTCTCAATCAGGGACATATGTATACACAGATTTCTGCATAGCCCTACTGGTACATCGACTCATCTAGACATTTGCATAGTTTTCCAACTTGGTGCCTAAAATAGTAGGGAAGTGAATGAAAACTAAATTTGCATACAATTCATTTATAGTGCTGTATATGCCGTACATAGAAATGTAATTTCCAATTGATTTATCATATGGTAAAAATAAAAGTAAGCAATCTTTCAATAAAAGAGTAATGTGACATTTTGTCTTTTTGTTGGTTTTATAAGCAAATAGCTTTCAAATGAGGTGAAACGTGATGTTATGCTGGACAAATCAGATTCCAGTAGTGCAGTGGCTCTGGAAGGGGTAGCAAGCTGCTGTTTCAGATACCTAAGAGCTTTGGTCTTTTCAGTTGATGGGCTTAAAAAAACAAATTGCCCATGTTTTGTTACTTTTTCTTCTGAAATGAATAAAATTAAAAGGTAGATCGTAAGTGATACTTAATAATGATGTATGAAACAGTAACCAGATTGTACTACTTCAACATAACAATGCAGATTTAACATCTGTCACTGACTTTGGGGAACATGCAAGATAGGTCCACCAATGACTATTAGCAATAATGGGCAGAGATGGTGTCCCTTGTCTCTCATTGCCAGAAGCTGTGAATGACAACAGGAAATGGATCACCCTGTTCTATTCACTTCCTCTGGGACACCTTGCATTGGCCAATGCCAGAAGACAGAATACTGGGCTAGATGAAACTTTGGTCTGACCCATTATTGATGTACTTATGGCTTTCTTTGATTCTAGTCAGCCCCATGGAGTATTAGTAGAAACAAGAAAGCTATTACAATAATACACTGGCTTATGGTGAACACTTGAAATAATAGCCTGTGTGCTACAGAAAGAAAGACATACAGCTGAGAGTTACTTTTATATCAGAGATAATATTATATATTGTGTCTTCAGAGGAGAGTCTTTAGACAAGGGACCTGTAGGATTTTCTGAGTAGAGAGGTCCAGCTTTTACAACATCTAATGCACTCCCTGTTACCAGACTTTACCAGTAGTTTTCATGCTTTGTGCTCCATTGTCAATCAAATCTTAACAGTTCTAAACTGTCATCCTGATGTCATGGTTTGTGGAACTTTATAGTAACCTGCGTGTGTCTGGAACCTCAAATTCAGTTGCTCTTGCCACTACATAGTAACTGAATATGGTCCAATAACAGATCTGCTATCTTTCTCTCCACAGAGAGGAGGAAGCTATTCAATTAGATGGCTTAAATGCATCCCAGATAAAAGAAATCAGAGAAAAATCAGAGAAGTTTGCATTCCAAGCTGAAGTTAACAGAATGATGAAACTCATTATCAATTCTTTATACAAAAACAAGGAGGTAAGCCGGATGTTTATCCAGGGAATGTCAATATGTATAGTTCTCGCATAACATTTATTATTCCTAAATATTTCATTTCAGATTTTCCTGAGAGAATTGATTTCAAATGCTTCTGATGCTCTAGATAAGATAAGGCTAATATCACTGACTGATGAAAATGCCCTTTCTGGTAATGAAGAACTCACTGTTAAAATAAAGGTAAGAGCTGCTAGCTTGTACAATAATCTGCTGATTTGTTACACACACACCCCACCCCGAGCTGCTAGCTTGTACAATAATCTGCTGATTTGTTACGCACCCCACCCTCTCCCCATTGGAAAAACTTCACTTTTCCTTGCTTGAGGTAACAAATTTTAAGTCTGCATATCCCAGTCTGTAAAGCACTTTAAAATTGTAAAAACTTGGTACCCTGCTATGACCATAAATCATTGGCACGTCTGCGCTTATGTCTAAACTACAGCATGAAGTTGTTCAGTGGTACAAAACTCCAGCTATGTAAATAACGTGCTATGTTATTAACATAGCTGGAGTTGACACATCTTGCCCAAATTACTATGGGGGTCTATGGCAGCAGGAAGGGGGACTTGCCTTTTTTTCAGGGTAGAATACAGTGGTTGACTGCAGAGTGATCTGTGGTCTATTTGGGACCGTTGGTACATCAGTCTCAGCATCAGTTGCTGCCATGGTGTAGATACAGCCTTAAGAGATACCACAAACATTTATGGCTCCCTTTCAGGACTTTGTGAAGAGTGACTGAAACACTGTATTGTTTCAGCAAGTGTCTTCCCATATTGTCTTAATGTGACTCCATACTCTTGCCATATTTTTTGCATAGCAAATTTTATTCATGAAGAATCTGATTGGTTTTACTGTAACATCTTACTGTAACTTTCCATTTTAATAAGCTGAAATATGCATGCTGACACTTAACTGAATGTACTTTTTTCATTTTCTAGTGTGATAAAGAGAAGAACATGCTTCATGTTACAGACACAGGCATTGGCATGACCAAGGAAGAATTAATCAAAAACTTGGGTACCATTGCCAAGTCTGGTACAAGTGAATTCTTAAACAAGATTACTGAAACACAGGAAGATAGTCAGTCAACATCTGAGTTGATTGGCCAGTTTGGTGTTGGCTTCTACTCTGCCTTTCTGGTAGCAGACAGAGTTATTGTCACATCAAAGCACAACAATGATACTCAACACATTTGGGAATCTGATTCAAATGAATTCTCAGTGATTGATGACCCGAGAGGAAACACCTTGGGCAGAGGCACCACCATAACGTAAGTATTGCAGCTGATCCAAAACTTATTAACCTGTTGAGGTACACCTTGCTCGTTAGCATGTTGTTTGTTCTCTGTATTATGATTCCTGTGCATATAACTCTTCATTTATAATATCTTTAGCATGAAATGAGTGCTTTCCCTGAATAGAGATGACTTCCTGAAAAGTATAACTATTGACCAAAGGTGTGGAGATTTTTAGCCAATTTTTCATTTTCTTGCATAGTTTAAGGATGTGATGCAATATTAACTGGTATTCCGAGTCCTGCTTGATTTTTTTGTTTTGTTTTATAAAGTTGAAATTTGTGCTTTTTCAGCTTATGTAAATGAGTACTTTTGCTAAACTGCAGAGTGACTTCTGTGGTCCATCTTAACAAAACTTTGTTTAATCTCTTAGGTTAATACATAGTGTAGAGAATAATGAATGATCATTTCAGAGTTGATCTTAACTTGTACTGCTCTGACACAAGTGGCTGAGTTCACTGTCCTTTCTGCTAATGGTCAGCCTTCTCCATATCTGAGGCTCATCATATTTGAGTATCAAGAACCACACAATTCCATTTTCAGTTTTATCAAAGTTTCCATTAACTTACAGTGGAGTAGACAATCTAAAAACTTCTGTCTGTTGAGTAAAAACTGCATAGTCGTCTCCACTCTTTGCAGTTCCTTCAGTACATTTCAGATTTCGCTATAACCACTTTCTAGTCCCGATAGCTTGAGTTGCAAGTATTGCTAGGGGGGGGGGAGGGGAGATAAAACAGTGCTAAATATAGTAGTTTGTAGGGATGTCACATGTAGTCAACTGCACATGTGTGCACGCATGCACATGCCTCCTCTCAGAAGCCACAAGGTGGGGAGGCTTCTGCAGAGCAGCCTCTGTCTGCAGGGAGTTTGTCTATCTCTACCCTGCCCCCAAGATGGGCTTCTGCTGCCTCGGATACAGAGGCAGCAGTGCAGAGTGGCAGGGGCTCCTCAGAAGTACACTGCTGGAAACCCTGTCCCCAGGGACTAATAAATAATTGTGTAACTGTTAATCTTTGATGTGGTTACATGATTATTCATTTACACAGTATCTAACATTCCTTGTACAGGTTGTACCTCTGTTAACCAGTACTCTGGTCTGGCAGGAGCGCAGATGTCCCAGGGCCAGAGAGCCCTAGTGGAGGGCTGGTGGCTGGGAGCCCTGCAGCAGGGTTAGAGCCCAGTAGAGGGGCTGCCCTGCAGCAACAGAACAGGAGACCAATAGTAGGGCTGCCGTCCAGTGCAAACGCTGGAGGGTGGGGGCAGGAGCCTGCAGCACAACCAGAAGCCTAGCAACCCCACTACTACCTAGCGGCTCAGTGTCTTGGTGGGACTGCAAGGCAGTGAGGCTGCCCCCTGCTGAGAGCCTGATCGCAGGGCTGCCTGGCAGTGGGACCAGAAATGTGGGAGTGGGGCAGTGCAGCAAAAAGCCCAGTGGAGCTGTATGGTAAGACTGGGAAGCTGCAGGTCGACCCAGCAAGGCTTGTCACTTCGAGGAGCCAGTAGACCCCAACAGGGGGCTTCCCCTGTGGGAATAGAGCATGGCAGTGGGGCAATGCATGCCAGTGGCAGGACTGCCACAGTGAGGCCAGGAGCCCTGCATGCGGAGTAGGAATGTTGAAATTGATCAACTAATCAAATAGTCGATTAAATTTCCATTGACTATTTGAGTCGATAAGGGTGTTTCCACTTTGAAATGTAGCAAGAGCCCACTGGGACTCTTGTACATTTCAAAAGTGGAATGCCACTTCTATACCCCTCCCACAGAACTGGAGTTGGGGGGGACCCCTCCCCCCCTCCCCCTGCTCCCCCCCCCCCCCTCTCTTTCTGATAGAGACAGCAAGTGGAGGAAGCGACTAGTTGATTAGTTGCTTACATCCCTGGAGCCCACGGCAGGGGAAAGTCAGCTGGGAGGCTGTCAGAGGCCATGGCTGGGGGGCTGGTGATGGGGGTAGGTACAGAAATAATGTTCCCTGGTCTGGGTCTGGTAAAATCCCTCATCTGGGATCAAAAGTCCCGAGAGTGCCGGACAAAGGCATTCCAACCTGTAGTCTGTCTTAAATGAAACCAAATTACCTGACAAAAATAAGTCACCAGTTTCAAGTTGTACTCTAGGGCTGGATTGGCAGATTGAATGGTGACTCAATGTCCTCCAGTTGCCCCTATGTCTCCATTTGCAGTATGCTTCTTTGCTGATGATAATTCTAGATCTTTTTTGGACTCTTCTCTCCCCCCCTTCTTCCCTCCCCATTCTCCTACATATTCTGAAGTCTTGTGTCTGATAATGTTCAATTGTGTTAATGTGGCTTGTGTTTAACTGTAGTGTTCTGAATCTGTTCTGATTTGTTTTATTGGGCTTCCATAATTTTAAAAGTACTGTTGTTTTTTTCTCTGGAAAAAGACAGCAAAGGAGCAGAGTTGAGGAAGAATTCTGACTGAACTTTGAGACTAGAGACTGTCCATTGTTTGGGTGTACTTATACACCAGGTTCTTAAAAATACTTAGGCATAGGTTCAGTAAGTAAAATTGCTTTGGAATAGTAGCCTTTCATAACACACTAAATGGCTTGTACTGTCTTTCTCAGCCTTGTCTTGAAGGAGGAGGCATCTGACTATCTCGAGCTGGATACAGTTAAAAATCTAGTCAAGAAATATTCACAGTTCATAAACTTCCCCATATATGTGTGGAGCAGCAAGGTAAATAGCTCTAACTCTTAACTAATTATTCATTATTATATATACAGCACTAATTTCAAGGTCTTGAAAAATCTACTTCCTGATGGAGGACATTCTATCACAATTTCCTGAGCTGTTCTGCAGAGCTTGTGTTCTATGGAAGCAGTTACTCTCATGGGTTGCAAAAGCGATATTGGATCTTGTTTGGCTATCAGTTCTCCAAAATGACACTTCCAATGCAGCAGAATTGACAAACTGCTCGTTAGCTTCACTGCTCTTCAAACCTGGTGAAGAGGAGAATTTCTGGTAACTTAAATGCTACTTGGAAAAGTTGAGCAGTGGCTGAGGAAATTGGGATGTATAAGAAGGATAAATTAAGAGGCAGGTGGACAAATCAGAATCAGAATCCTGTCCCTCCACCTCCCCACTCTCAGATGGGGAGAAAGCTACAAGATGGCACTACATATCTAATAGCCAAAAGCAAAACCAAGAAGTGAAAGATCTTAAGCAGGGAATGCCTCATGGTGGAAATATATACGTAGCCACTCATAGTTTCTGGGGCTTCACACCAGGGTATTGTCTGGTGGCCTCACTTTCTCTCTTTCTGTTTGTCTGCCTCTGGCTAAGAGTCTTCAGCATCATACAAAATTCCAGCATGGTGGTTGAAAATCAACTTGAGCAATCAGTGTTGTTTCTGCTGCAGCCCAATTCACATCTGTTAGTCACACTGAATTTGTATATGTTGATATTCAGAATCCTACATGACTTTAAAGCATGGCAGGTGGCATGTTCTAGTTACTCATTCAAAATAAAAGCTTACAGATTTTTTTTTCAGTCCTAAATCACTCTTCCATGAGAAACAATTAGAAGAACCTTGTCAAACAGCCTCTTGACTTAAGCAATGTGGACTTACAGTTAAGTGTTTCCACAGACTGAGACTGTAGAAGAGCCCATTGAAGAGGAAGAAGTAAAAGAAAAAGAGGAAACGGATGATGAAGCTGCTGTTGAAGAGGAGGAAGAGGAGAAAAAGCCAAAAACTAAGAAAGTATGGGGTTTTTTTTGGATATACACTTGAGGGCTAAACAGCTTGTCTTAGTTACCTGTTCAGGGGTGCAAAATGTTTCATCTTCTAGATGTGCATGATATAGTTCTAGCAATGACAGTGCCTTCTAGTAAGCCTGCCATCAGGATGGTGCTGATAACAAGTCTGATGCAGATGCCAGAACAGGAGTAAATATATTTCAATTCAGAAACACTGATAGTAATGTACTGAATGTATTCTTTCTTTGGCAAGTAAGCATCTGAGGGGGGTCAAGGGTCTTGAGTTGTTAGCGATCTAGTGGCTATATATTGATCAACAAGCTAATGGAAACTCATAATACCAGTGTTCACCTCAAACTCAGACTGAAAAGAAATTTTTTAGTATTTTGGATTTATATAAATTCAGGTGTGCCATGCATAATGTGTGCATGCCTAAATAAGTACACAAACTGTAAGTTATCAGCTGTTGGTGTCCCATTCAGTCATTCCCCCCATGGTGCTTGCATTTGCATACTATATCTTAAATGTCACACTGTAAACCCTTCAGGGTGGGCACCATTTCAGTTTGTCTTCATGTGCCTAGTGCATTATTGAGCACCTAAAGTAATACTGAATATGCAGTACACTAGAGGCTCACAATATATACGTAAACTTTTCTATTTGAGATGCCTCAGTGAAGCGGTGACTTGCTTCTGCAACTTTGGGTCTGATCTATTCTACGAGCTTAGGTCAACCGCTTCAGTGTTAGGTTGAATTTGTAATGTCTACACTATCCAGTCCCTCCTGTTGACCTAAATAAAGGGCTCTTAATCTTGACCCTTATACTCCACTTGAATTGGAGTAATGCCTAAGACAACATTCACATTTTGAATTAAACAAAGTGGAAACACTGTATTGTAATTTACTAGTCTCCAGATAGTGATCCAAATTGCTGTTATGGACAGTCTGAGCTCTTTCAGTCAGGTGAGCAGGAAAAGCTCCAGGAACACTGGAATGTTTCCTTCCTCTGGAGCAAATTGGAAAGCTTACTAACACAGCTGAGCATACAAGCCAAGGGTCACACATGCCTCCAGCGTAGAGTGTTTGAGACAGTGGTTCTGATGGCAGGGGAGGAGGGACTGTGCATCAGAGCTCTGACCCAGCAAAATAAATGTTGATCTCTGTCCCGGAATTGCACAGGGCATGGTCAGTAAGGGCTACGCCAGGGGCACAGCAATGCTGTGTGACAATAAAGGAGCTTACACAAGTGTACTACAAGACAGGCTTGTTGTGAGCCACAGATGTGGGAGGCTGACAACATGCATCCATAACTACTTGAAACAGTGTGTTCATCCCATGAGGCATTAGGACCCTAGCCCAGAATTCCAATCTGCTTCAGGGACTGTGGGATAGCTATCCATGGTGCATCACTCAATGCAGTGAGGATGTGCTCCATCAACCACAACCATCTAGTAGGAGTACATGCAAAATAGTATTAAATTGGATGCTCTAATTTAAAAGTCTAACTGGCCTACATTTGTAGTATTGACACATGATTACAGTTACTTCTAAATTAATATCAGCAGTCTTGGACATACACCACAAAGCTGAACAATGTAAAATTGACTTTTTTCATTCTCAGGTTGAAAAAACTGTCTGGGATTGGGAGCTTATGAATGATATTAAGCCAATTTGGCAGAGACCATCTAAGGAAGTTGAAGATGATGAATACAAAGCATTTTACAAATCGTTTTCTAAGGTAAATTTGATATATGATTCAAATTTCTACAGTACTTTTCTGGCACAGTAACCTCTAACTTCCCCATACACTGCTTTAGTCTAAAATTGAGAGGCCAGATCCTTAAACCTACCATAAAACTTACTTTACTAGAAAGTCCTTGTCCTGATTTTGGAGGCTGAGCAAATGGGCAAAGGGAGTAAAAGGATTAGTGAGGAAGGTGTAGGTAGTATGATTTTACTCCTGGAGCAACTCTGCACCAAAAAATGAAATTCTGTACAAGTTGAACTTCCATGGTTCAGCATGATTTTAGTTAGTCAGATGTCCACTCACCGTGGAATGGTTCAGCATGATTTTAGTTAGTCGGATGTCCACTCACCGTGGGCATGACCAAGATTCCTGTGGTCCCATAAAGTTTGTTTGCAGCCCACAATCCTGGCTCTGTGTTTTGTTATTTAGCACTAGTTTACCCCTTAAATGTCTTGTAAGAGCCCAGTAAGCAGTGGAAGTGTTGGTAATGCTGCTAGACAATACTGATCTGTGGTCCAGCAAACTCTTTGGTTTGGCCCTGGACATATTCCAAAGGTGCTGGGCTAGAGAGGTTCATCCTGCACAATATTTTAAAATTGTGCATACATAACTGGCATGGTGAAGTATAGTGGGTTTTTTTGGTAACTTCAAATGCCTGTAACAGTGAAGACAAAAGATTTAGGAAACTTTGACAGATTCTTACAAATTCTTTATCAATATGTCAATCTTTAACGTTTTCATTTAAACAGTCATTACTTATACAAATGCAGTGTAATAACCTGGCCTATGAGGGCAATAGTGTCCTCATGGACTATTTTGTCTGTCATGTTTAGTCCCAAATTTAAGCTTCCATATGTATTGTAAGATTTTTGGGTCATACCATTGTAGTGGAACAGGAGGGTAGGCAAATTAGCAGTATTTTAGTTGTAAAATAGTAGATGACTAGCAGAGAGGGGAGAATTAGGGTAGTTGGTGAGTTCGGTCATATATGTGATTTGCCAACCAACACCCTTTGGTCTCCAGAGGTGGTATCCATGCCCTCATGCCAAGTGTGGATAGAGTGCTGGGAGAGAGGGTGTGCAATAATAGATGGGACTAAAGAGGAAGGGGATTCAGGCTAGCAAGGAATATAAGGGGAAGGGTGGTGCCAGCAGTCATGTGCACACTGACATGTGTATGCACATAACTAATACAGCTGAAACCTACAAAACTGGAATAGCACCTTGGTGGAAATCACAAATTCAAAGTTGTGAAACATTAATTCTGCATTGTATAGCGGTGTGGAATTCTAGTAGAAGTAATCTTTGCAGATAAGATCCTATTTTCTTACTGGCAACTAGTATCCTATTTTCAGTGGCTGTGTAATGAGACTTTTTGTTTTACTACTATAGTGCTTAACCTTTCTATTTCAATGATCTTCCCTCGGTTTTAGTAGAACAGGCTGCTTAGTGAATTACTGTTTTTACGTGTTTGATAGGGAATTAATCTTCGAGAATCTGGGATTTGGTTTCACTGTTTAGTTGGCAATCTCCTTAATCTTATTTCATGCAAATCTGGAATGACAGGAAGATGTTAAATAAAATTTCCCTTCTAAAGGATAAATCAGGGCAGAGTTGTGTAGAGATTAAAAGCACTCTGATTTATCCCATTAATTATTTCTATCACGGATCCAACTTTGTTCCTCCTTGTGAGTCTGCACTTTTGGAATATCTCTTTCACACACAAGCTCTAGAAAGAAACACTGATTAAATAGTAACTTTCCTTCCACAGGAACACGATGATCCTATGGCTTATATTCACTTCACTGCTGAAGGAGAAGTAACATTCAAGTCTATCTTGTTTATTCCTACCACAGCTCCGCGTGGTTTATTTGATGAATATGGATCCAAAAAGAGTGATTACATTAAGGTAAAAACATAAGTATTCTAAAAGATGGCATATACTTCAATATCCCTGAAACATTCCTAATTATTTTTTTTTATCATTCAGTTGTATGTCCGGAGAGTATTCATCACAGATGACTTCCATGATATGATGCCTAAATATCTTAACTTTGTGAAGGGTGTTGTAAGTATCTTGAAGTGTTTAACTGAACTTGCTTAAATTACTATTGCTTCTACTTCATAATTTCAGCTTTTTTTCCCCAATTAGGTGGACTCTGATGATCTTCCTCTGAATGTATCTCGTGAAACCCTTCAGCAGCATAAATTGCTAAAGGTATCTTAGTTGGCTTGTTAAACTATGTCTACTGGCGCCTGAGTGACTAAATCTACCACTTCCCCTGTTAAGTAACATGATTGTAGCAAGTATGGGGAAGCACAAAATACTCAACTAGCCATATTTGAGCCTAGATTCTTTCTAGACTACATATTTGAGCCTAGATTCTTTTTAGACTATCTAATCTAAATTAGGAATCAAAACATCAAGATTAACTTCATTTCACTTAATTAAAATTTGAAAGTACAAAATGGAACAGTTCATAAACTCTTGCCACAACCAGAATTTATTGAATCTTCACTAGAAGACAGAAAAGGGGGTGGCTAAGGAGTTAACATGAGAATAGGAATAATTAACAGATTAATGCCTTTTTTAGCACTCCTTCTAACAGCTTTAAAAGATTGTTTGTGCTCCTTGTTCATATAACAGCATGAGTGAACTTGCTGTTTTGTCTTTGGAATGAATAGGTTATTAGGAAGAAACTGGTTCGTAAAACTCTTGACATGATCAAGAAGATTGCTGAAGAAAAATACAATGATACGTTTTGGAAAGAATTTGGTACAAACATAAAACTTGGAGTGATAGAGGATCATTCCAACCGTACTCGTCTAGCTAAGCTTCTTCGTTTCCAATCATCTCATCATGAAAGTAACACTACTAGTCTGGACCAGTATGTGGAGAGAATGAAGGAGAAACAAGACAAAATCTATTTCATGGCAGGAGCCAACAGAAAAGAGGTAAATCTTCTGTAACAAAGCAAAATAGTCAAATAGCAAATCTGCCTGAGTTTAGGAATCAGACTGGTTGTAATTAAAGCTTTT